CGTCGCTCGGCTGTCCCGGAGTAGGAGGCGCTGTTGTCGGCTCAGGCTCGTCGCCGAGCATAAGCTGCCCAGCAATGTTACGCATGGCCGTATGGTTTGGCCTCATTCCCACCGCCTGGAGACCCCATCCTGGCGGAGGAAGATTATGACCGCGCATAGCCATCGCCATTTCCAGAGCACGACGCCATCTACCACGGGAGTATATCAAGTGTCTCTGCACTTCCTGAGGATACACGCTGTCAATGAGAGTCAGAGCTGCCAAAATTAGCTCTGAACTACCGCAAGCAGCATTATCCTGTTCTGTCATGATGCCAGCTTCGATGTGTTCTTGACTCTCAGGATAACCAATTGTAAGTATCTCATGCATCCTCATGAGGGTCTGCCAAAGGGTACGTGGTCCATATTCGCCTGGAGCATGCGAACCAGGAGGCATGAACGGAATATCTGGTTCGCCTGCAATGAAGGCCTGAACAAATGCCTGAGACTCCATTTCAATTAAGTCTTCAGTGGTCTGGGGATATTCCCCCATCAAAGAAGGCCTGTTTCCAGGCGGGATTCCGGGCGGAGGTTCGAGGTTCCGTTGAACCTCGGAAGGCGAAGCCTCTATAGTGGTGTCCTCGTCGTCGCTCTCGTAGGCCATGATGTTGCCTGGGTTCCCGAACATCCAGTCGAAGAAAGAAAGAGGCTCGTTTCCAAGCGTACCGTGTTCCACGGGAGTGAGTTCGTTACTGCCCGTGACGAACCGGCGGACGTACTCGAGGTAGTACGCGTACAATCCATGACCATACCCCTCGAGCTCGTCGATGTTGTCCATGCCAACAACCCAAGTGAAAAATATCTGTTCCATAGCCTCAAAGTCCTGGAGGCTCAGATATTCAATGGATGGTGCACTTGAGCCAAAATGGACTTCGGACGACATGCCCTTTCCATTTCCCTTCGCTGGACAATCTCGCACAAGATGGTCGGAACTACCACATTCATGGCATTTGAGAACCTGGCCGTCTCTACCTCGCGGGTTTCCCCGCCTACCTTTACCTTTACCTGAGGTCTCTCCACGGCCTTCACCACGGCCTTTTCCCCCAAAGAATATCTCATCATGTTGTTCATCTGAGAGCCTCTGGAGAAATGCCGCGACACCTCGCCCGTTCAACCTCCGACGACCACGCTTGCCTTTACCCTTTCCTTTAAAACTTCTGCGTGTCCTCCTTCTAACACGACGCACTGGTTTTCGTGTGAACCTCCTCCACCTTCGTTTAGCCTGTTGTAACAGCCAGAATAAATGCTCAGCGCGCTGATTGTCGTTATCCATATTCATGATATCTGACCAATCTAGAGCTTCAACACCATCTGATGATATAGTGTCTGTATCGGTGCCGGAGTCGAAATCTTCGTCTCCTAAATAGGTGGATACACCGTCGGTTAGGGGATTTGATTCCCCCCATAACGAGCGGTGTGGTTGTGGTTCTCTAGAAGGAGGGCTGGTTGCCCAGCTTGGTTGTGATCGATCCCCTGCTAATAAAGCAGTGGATTCTCCTGGGTCATCGGCCCATATGTTTGAGGGCCCGTTTCCAGGCTGGGCTTCAGTAGTCAAGGTAGTGTAGAAATTTCCACTACCAGATCCCCTTCCTCTTCCAAACACGGATCCTATGTTACCAGGAGATCGTTCGGATAGGTGGCCTACCGAACGCATCCTTTCCAGCAACTCATCATACTGTTGTTGTGTTCGAGGCATTTGGTGATTGAGTGGCTGTAAGAGTTGCATGGCTTTCTGGTTGCCGACGCCTAAGGCGCGGAATAGGATAGTGGTTAGCAGTTGGAAGTTAGGAAGGTCGAATCCCACCGACTGCGCCTCAAGTCGGGCCATTTCGAATCGGGTAAGAGTGACATCGATTCGTTCCCCGTGAGGCACATGGAAGTCGATGAGTTGTGTGCCGGAAGTGAGCTGTCGCTCATCTTCCAGGCGTTCGAACTTCATGCTGAGGAGGAACATGATGTAAGTTACTGGGTCTGTGTGGACCCCATCAATGTCAGCACCATAGTTTATAATGTCAGGCGGTACCCTCATGGCGAGTGTCCTCGCTAGGCCACCTAGGCCGCGTTGTATTGCGGCCGCTTGGGCCTGTGGCGTCATACGTCCGCTTGTAACGTTGAGCCATGCGTTGACCTCGTAGATGTACTCACGAAAAGGTACATTACCTTGAGGGTCCCAATATGGGCCATGTGTTTGCCCATCGGTGCTGTTATCTCCACGACGCATGTGTCCGATTGCTGCCCCCAGCGCGAACCATATGATAGCGAAAACGATTAGCCCGATAATGTGTAACGAAGGACGGTTATGATGCGCGTTGTCGCGCTGGGGTAGCGCCTTGTCGAGTCTTCGAGGCGCTCTGTCTGGCGGGTCTCCCCGCCCTTGCTTCAAGTATTGCGCTGTTAGCTCGTTGCCGAGCGGTTGGTAGTAACGCAATGATGAAGCGTATATGGTACCAGTTTGGTCGTCTAGACGTCGTGCCTCTCGTGTTGCTTCTTGCTCTTGAATAGATCCTCGTAAGCGTACTGGGAGTGGTGGCGCAGGGTGGTAGGTGGTCACGAAGATCGTGCCGAAGAATATGAGGCTAAGAAGAGCAAGAGCTGACCACACGAGAGTGCGGCCAGCTCCGCTACCAAGTCGAAAGTGAGCCTGGTAACTCAAATGGGGCATATAGCCTGGCAAATTGCATCCATCGCTCTGCTGTGAAGGCACAGTATGAGGGGTGGATGGGTAAGATAGGATAAGATCGATGTAGTGATCTTTCCAGCACATAGCGAACACTCGCGGTGTCCGGGCAAATAGGGCGCGCGTGCCTTGGGCCCAAGGCAGCGGCGCGCGAGCTATGCTCCCGATACTGTAACATCTCCCAAAGAGCTACCCTTAAAGTCACTCACGAGCCCTTGCAACAACAATCCTGACCATATTTTGTTCTAGCATAACGAACCCCTTGCAACAAATACGACTCCCGCATCATGCGTGTTACGCTCCAGCACGTAGACGCTCCCAGGCGCCCCCAGGCGCTCCCAAACGCTCCTAGGCGCTCCCATGTACTCTTTGACACTAGGCGCCCAAGCGCTCCCAGGCGCTCCCAGACGCTCCCAGACGCTCCCAGGCGCTCCCAGGTGCTCCCAAGCGGTCCCAGGCGCGCCCACTCCCAAGTGCTCCCAGGCGCCTGGGTGTTCCCAGGCGCTCCCAGACGTTCCCAGGGTCTCCCAGGCGCCCCCAAGTGCTCCCAAGCGCTCCCAGGCGCTCCCAGGCATTCCATGACGCTCCCAGGCGCCCCGATCCGTTCCCAAGCGCTCCTAGGCGCTCCCATACACCCCTTGGCGCTCCCAGACGCCCAGCGCTCCCAGGCGCTCCCGGATCGTTCCAAGCGCTCCCAGACGCTCCCAGACGTTCCGAAGCGCTCGCAAGCGCTCCTATGCGCTCCCGGACACTCCTTGGCGCTCCCAGGCGCCCAGATGCTCCCAGGCGCTCGCAGATGCTCCCAGGCGCTCCCAGGCGCTCCCAGATGCTCCCAGGCGTTCTCAAGTGCTCCCAGGCGCTCCCAAACGCTCCTTGGCGTTCCCAAGTTCTCCCAGACGCTCCCAGGCGCTCCCAGACGTTCCCAGGTGCTCCCAGGCGCTCCCAGACGCTCCCAGGCGCTCCCAGGCGCTCCCAGGCGTCCCCAAGCGTTCCCAAGCTAGCATAGCAGAACATAGCAAAGCATAGCATAGCTCGAATTGCTGGTTCCCCTGAAATTGGAAACTCATGGTGTAGCATAGCATAGCATAGCCTATACGTATGATGTACTGCTGGGCCACCAGCCATCTATCAGTTCATACATCCATCGAGGCATCCATACATCCATCCATCCATGCGCTCCAACGCGCTCAGCTCGTCCCAAGCCCTCCAAATCGCCCCCAAGCGCTCTCAAGGTCTCCCAAGCGTTCCCAGGCGCTCCCAGGCGTTCCCAGGTGTTCCCCAGCGCTCCCAGGTGCTTCCAGGCGGTTCCAGGCGCTCCTACCGCTCCCATGCGCATTATGCTCTCCTGGCGCTCTCGGTACTCGCTGTAATGCTAAAATGGGGGGGGGGATCTTGATGGTTGGGTGGTTTGCGGGTGGGAACGACAGCCACCGCAGGTGGGCTCCTAGGCAGGAGGGGATGCGGCCAAGATGGGATGCGGCCAAGCCTGTTGAACCCTAGACCCTAAACCCTAAACCCTGAACCCTAGCCGCCCGCCCACAAGTGAACCACGAGAAGAAACCGGCCCCACGCTCAGGTCGGGCATGTCCTCCTACAGGCGCATGTTGACGAAGAAGAAAGAGGCAACAACAACATCTATACAATTGTCAAACAACCAAAAAACGTCCAGAGGTCCCATTATAAAATCTGATTTTGAATACTCCTGCTGTAGAGGGGCACGCCCGACGTAGCCCTACGCGAGAAGACACCGCTCGGCCCGAAGCACGCCGCGGCGTACTCGGGCCGCCAGGGCGGCACACCGCACGGAGAAGAGGGCGCTTATACGCGCGACATGATTCAAGGGGTCCAAGGACACTCAAAGAAATACGCACAAATAAAACTACTCCTTATCTTTTCCTATATTTTCTTGGATTTATCCTTCCCCCCACTTCCCATAATTTGCCATAGTTTCCTGGGGAGTCGACGATTAATTGTGCATGTGTGTTTCTTTCCCTCCTGAATTATGCCGGAAACCTTGCGCGCGAATGTCAGCGCAGTCGACTCCGTCTTCTGCCGTCGCTCCAAGCCTCCCTCCGTCCAAATGGAGGGGAACAAAAGAATGACATAAACATAACAACTCGGAGGTCCGCGCGGATTTCTCGGATCCGCGCTGGACCCCCCCCGGCGGCGCCTGCGGCGCCGCCCCTGGCGCGCTCCGTGCGCCAGGGAGGGGGGTCCAGCACCGATCCGAGAAATCCGCGCGGACCTCAGAGTTTTTATGTTCATGCCACTTTTCGTCCCCTAAAACCCTCCCTCCGTCCGTATGACTGGCAGGCACAGATCCTGCAACCTTTGAAGCAGGGCGTATTCATGCTGGCGCGTGAGGGGAGAGGGGGGAGGAGCACGAGACGCAGACGGTCTGGAGGGGCCGGACAACGATGACCATGGCCAGGAGTGAACACGGAAACGACGGTGTGGATCCTGGCCATCGTCCACCTTGGCCCTCGTCCAGGCGTGGATCGCCCTCGCGAGTCGGCGACGGCCCGAGTGGACCGCGACCAAGATCGGCGTCGACTAGGTGCCGCGGCGCAGTGGCCATGGCCAGCGCGCCCCTGCCCTGCACGAGGCGCGCGAGACACCAGCAGGGAGGGGGAGGGGCGCCCCCCAAGGAAGCGAGGGGCCCTCCCACCAGGACGCGCAAGAGGGGCTGACGCGCGCGCGCCCCCTGTCGTTGGGCGTGGCTTAATGGGGGGGGTGACACATGGGGGGGTCAGAAAAGGCCCCCTTTCGTGCCCCTTTCGGGCCCCTCCAGAGCCCCAGGGGGCTCGTCTAGGTACCGTTTGGGTACCTTTTCGGACCACCCTCGCCACCCCCCCAATGATTAACCCCCCCACTACGCGGCGCCCAATGTCGGCACACGAGGAGAGGCCCGGGCGCCGGGCCCCCGTGGGCGCGCGCCTGGAAGACGTGCATGTAGGTGGCCCCTGGCCGGCCTCTGCGCATAGGGTGACTACCTACCAGACCACCCCAACCCAACCCGAAGACCCGAATTTCGGGTTGGGGGGGGTAAGGGTTCCACACGTGTTTTTTCGATGTTTCCCGACCCCCCCCCTACTGGAAATCGAGGGTAAATCTGAGCCTTCGGGTTGGGTTGGGGTGGTTTGGTGGGTGGTGATAGGGGGCGCGCCGGCCCAGCCCGGGGCAGCGCTCGACGCAGCGCGCGCCCAGCAGGGCGGCGGCGAGGCAATTCGGTGCAGCTTGGGGGGGGCAGGGCAAGGGTTGCCCGGAAGCTGGGCGAGGGCTGCTAGAACCGTGGCTGCGAAAACGGCCCTCCCGGAAGGAACAAAAAACAGCTTCCCGGCATGAGGCGCGGCGCGCGAAACAGTCCACGGGCGTCTTCCCGGAGGGACGGAGACAGCTTCCCGGAAGTCGATTTTGGCAGCCACGGATTTATTAGCCCTTGCCCGGCTTCCGGGTTGCGGGACGGCCGATGGGCAGAGTCCTGCGCCGCCCGCGCGCTACAGCAGGGCACACGTGCGAGAGGGAAGCCTGTCGTGCAGGTGTAATAGATTTACGTCGGGCGTGTCCCCTTACAGGGGGATTTTCGACGAAAAATAAAAAATAAACCAAAATGAAAGGTAAAAAAAAGTCAAAAATAATCCTCATACTATTGTTGGGCTATGTTTTGACTATGTTTGGGTTTTTCATTCTTCGTCGAAAATCCCCCTGTAGGGGGACACGCCCGACTTAATAATAGATCGGCACTGGCTTCGTCCACCCTGGGCACTGCACAGCGTTGCAGGGCGCTGCGGCCCCCACTGAGAGATCGGAGATCATCGCAGGGCACCAGTGGACGGGCCCATCTCTTACAGCGGAGGCCAGTCCACAAGGAGCCTTGCACAAGAAACCCAACCCTGAGACCCCAGGACGTCCATTGATTTTTTGGCGTGGGAGAATCACGTCTTCCATAGCAAAACCACCGAGGCCCAAGAAACCCAGGGCACCCTTGAGGCAAGCAGGGTGTTTCTTGGCATGGGTTTCCACTGTACTCGATGCGCCTACTGCAAGGTACTCGCGAAGTCTCGGACGCACCACCCCTTGCCCCCGACCTGGTGCTGGCTGGCTCTGTCGGCGGGGTGCCAGATGCAGGCCAGTCGGGCGGATCGACAGATCACGCCGCCCAGACCCCCTGGCGTCATGGTTTTGTCGCAGCGTCGACCCCCAGAGGTCTGGACCCCCTCCCCAGGATCAGTCTTTCATCCTGAATCGTTGTTTGAGGGCCTCGAGGCCTGGGAAGGGTTCCCAGAGGCCGAAAATAACGAAAAACCTCCCGCCGCGATTTTTGTCACAGCGCGAGGGGGTCTGGGCTGCTCCCCGCGTCCGTTGTTGCGGGCAGCTCTCGAGGGCCTGGCCGGGGCCCGCTGCGGCTGCAACGGACCAGAAACTGTCCGTGGCGTTCTCCCAGCCATCCTTTGTTCGGGGATGGACAGACCTCCCTTTAATAAAACGTGGTTTAGTGAAAACGACTTCGGGCCCAAACCTGGGGGGCGCAAGCATGGAAAATAACGGCCGCGCCGCCCTCTCGAGAACCGAAAACGGACAATTCACTAATCGACGTGTCAGGGTAGGAGGTCTGTCCACCTCCGATTTGTTGATGGGTCCTCGTTCTGGTACGGCTGGGCCTAAGACAAAAAAAAAACATCCTCCAAGAATATGGGGCCCTCCGCCGGCCAAACTGAAGAACACTCGAGGGCTCTCTCCCCCGAGGTTTCGCAAGAACGTCCAACAAACACGAAGAACACTAGGGTACACTCCCGGAACCGACCTCGATCTTGTGCTCCGGTCGGACAGTCAACGCGTACACTAAGGATGCACGATAAGAACGCAAGGACCCTGGAAGGCCATGTCGACACCTTTCTAGCAGGGCGCGGCCAGCGAAATGGGCAGGATGCAAGGGTAACCTTGGCAAGTTGCTCATCCTTACTATGCGCTTTGACTGTAAACACAGCGCCGCGCCGCGCGTCCTCACCGCACTTGCCTGCTCCTCCTCCCCGCAGCGCTCGCATGTACGCGTCACTGCGCCAATTCTGGCGCACCCCTCACAAGGATCGTCGCCCGATAGGGAGCTCCACCGAAGGCCACAGTCGCAGGGCCCCCATGCGTCACTGCGTCCAGTTCGACACACCCTTCACGAGGATCGTGGCCCACAAGGACCTCCACCGAAGGCCCCAGTGGCAGGGCTCGCATGCGTGACAGCGCCCAGTTCGGCACACCACCGACGTGCGCCCTTTTCGGCATACCTCTCGCAAGGATCATGGCCCCAAAGGGAATTCCACCAAAGGCCCCAGTGGCAGAGCTCGCATGCGTGACTGCGCGCACTTCGGCGAACCCCTCACGAGGATGGTGGCCCAAGAAGGTGCTACACGGACAACCAAAGTGGCAAGGTTCGCATGCGTACTGCTCCCATGTCGTCACCCCTCGCAAGGATCGTGGCCCTGTAGGGAGCTCTACCGAAGGCCCCAGAGACAGGGCCCGCATGCGTCGCTGCGTCCAGTTCGACACACCCTTCACGAGGATCGCGGCCCCAAAGGGAGCTCCACCGAAGCTCCAGTGACAGGGCTGGCATGCGTGACTATGCCCATTTCGGCACATCCCTCACGAGGATCGTGGCCCCGTAGGGAGCTCCACCGACGGCCCCAGTGGCAGGGCTCGCGGTCGTCGGCACATCCCTCACAAGGATCGTGGCCCCGTAGGGAGCTCCACCGACGGCCTCAGTGACAGGGCTCGCATGCGTGACTGTGCCCATTTCGGCACATCCCTCACGAGGATCGCGGCCCCGTAGGGAGCTCCACCGAAGGCACCAGTGGCAGAGCTCGCATGCGTGACTGCGCCCATGTAGGCGCATTCCTCGCAAGGATCGTGGCCCCACAGGGAGCTCCAACGAAGGCCCCAGTGGCGGGGCTCTATAGGGAGCTCCACCGAAGGCCCCAGTGGCAGGGCTCGCATGCGTCCCCTCCTCTCCCGAGGAGCTCCACCAAAGCTCGCCAGACCAGGGCACGCCGACAGTCGCGCAAACCAGCCGAACGGGTTACGTTCAAATGTAGTCAGAGTGTTAACCCGTTCCGGCTGACCCCTCTGACCACATCGACATCACCGCTTCGTCGTTCTCGCCCGCGCCCTGGTCATGCTGCTCACCCCCTTCCTCAATTCCCTCCTGTCTTGCGGTGCTCGCGCGTGCATCTGGGTTGGGTCGGGCGAAAGGGGGGGATAGCAAAGGGGGGGGTTGAGAATCAGCTCACGGAGCTGATTTTCCTGGAGCCTCCCGGCGCCGGAGGCGGCCATGTATCGTGGAATGGGCCCCTCGCTGAGGCCGACACCAGCTGCATGCAGCAAATTTCGCAACACCCCCCTTTCCCAATCCCCCCCTCTCTTTCAACCCGACTGGGTTGGCCCGTCGTCTGGCAAAGTTTCGCGACGTGGTGAAGTCCAGTCTTCGGGCCAGAAGCCGGGCCTCTGCCGGTCCGGCCGGGAAGACCCGAGCACCCCACGGGAACGCCCTCGCCAAGGCGCAGCTGCTGGGGCGGCACCTCCCAGGGCGAGAGGGCCCTCCAGGGCCCACGCAAAACGGCCGAGCAGCTTCGAGAACCCTCCCGTCGCGCGATTCTCGTCGCGGCGCGGGGATGCCAGGGGCGTCTGCCCATCGGCAGGAGGCGGCGCGAGGGCGCGCGCGGGGCTCTCTTCACAGTCACGGGTGCTGCGGTACGGACTCGTATCCCGGATGCTCGGTACCTGGGCACGAAGGAAGCGTTCGAGAACCCTCCCGTCGCGATTCTCGTCGCGGCGCGGGCATGTCAGCGGAGTCTGCCCAGCGGCAGGAGGCGGCGAGAGGGCGCGCGGGGCTCTCTGGACCGTCACGGGTGCTGCGGCACGGACTCGTACCCCGGATGCTCGGTACCTGGGCACGACGAGGGCAGCGGGCCCCGAGGGAGGCGGATCCAGGACCCCGCCGGCCTGCCCCCGCAGGGCAAGAGCTCCGTCGCGGATCGCTGTTGGCGGTCCCGGGGCCTGTCAGGCCTGTGGGAGGCCCCGGGAGCTCGAAAACCAGGACAAACAAAAAAAAAATCTGGGGACCCGATCCCGGACATGCGACGTCTTGCTGCACGGAGCCCCCGAGGTCCCGACCCTTTATCCCCAGTGCCAGTCCTGGATTCTGAGCCGTTGGGCCCCCGAGCGGCAGAAACACAAAAACTGTCGGCGCTCCGCGCGGATTTCTTGGATCGGCGCTGGGCCCCGCTCCCTGGCGCTCGGAGCGCGCCAAAGGGCGCAGCCAGGTGGGCCCAGCGCCGATCCAAGAAATCCGCGCGGAGCGCCGACAGTTTATGTTTCTGCCGGTGTTTCTTCTTCGATTCCCAGACTTGCGACGTTCTGACGTTTTCAACACGGGGCTCCCTGAAGTCCCGACCCTTTCCACGGGGCTGGTCTCTCATCACGAATCGTTGTCTGACGGTCCCAGGCCCCCGTGAGCCGCCCCCCCCCCCCCGAAGACCAGACAACGAGCCCAAACCTACCGTCGCGAGTTTGTTCACGACTCGAGCATGTCTGAGTTTCCCTCATTTGAGCAAGGACCGACCGTCCTGGCATGTATAAGCCTACCACGAAGTGTTCTTAGAACCCAACAAGGATCTAATACCAGAAACAATGCCCTTAGAACATGAGCCCCACGTGTTAAGGCAAGACGGTCTCAGCCAGACCTGTTCTGAGAAAATGTCGTGCAAACCGCAGAAGGTTCTTGGAACACATTTGGTGGGCCCACATGCAAACCACAACCCTCGTCAAAATTTACCTCAAAAATGTCTGACGTGGTTGAACTGCTTGTCGGAAGATCTGGGGCCGAGTATCGATGAGTGCGGGGTACTTGCATGCGCCGCCCCTCCAATGTCGGTCGACGTCAAACTTTCGAGTCAGCTTCGGTCAGACTAACTTTGCCCTCGCCCCGACACTGAAGGGGCGGCGTGTCGACACTGAAGGGGCGCGAGGAAATCGAAATGACGTGCCAGCAAGTGTTGAGGTTAATTCTGACGAGGGTCGCAGGACGCTTCGCCACTGCTTGATTCATGTGGACGCCCGAAATGGGTACCGAAAAAATGGGTACAATGCCCAACAGCAAATTTTGTCCCAAACCAACAGCGGCCGCTGTTGGGCAGGCGGCCCTCTGTCTCAAATGGACACAGGCCGCGGCGGCGTGGACAGCGAATCCTGTCCAAATTGAACAGGAACTGCTGTTGGGCATTGTACCCATTCTTTCAATACCCATTTCGGGCGTCCAGAATTCACATGGCGAGCACCGGGCGGCCGCCGCCGCGACCCTGGCCGGCAGATGAGGCCGGTGGGCGCCACGGCGCTGGCGCCTGGCGTCGCGCGGCTGCGGGCGCTGCTGGCCTCTCGGCCGGCCGGGCCGCGCCCGCGGCGGCCCCACATGAGCGCGGAGGCGCCGAGGGCGACGAAGCCTCGGGGGGGGAAATAGGGGGCCACATGCCCAGACCCCCTCGAGTAATGAAAAAATCATGACGGGAGGTTTTTCCAAATTTTTTCGGCCTCGGGGGGCCCTCACCGGGCCTCGGGAGTGTCAAAAAACGACTCAGGATGCAAAGCCGGTCATGGAGAAAGGGTCGGGACCTACGGGGGTCGACGTAATGAAAAAATCATTACGTCGGGGGTCTGGGTGCGAACCCTACCCCTGCCCCCCCACGATTTCTGAGGGGGAGGGGTGGGGTTCACTTCGCTCGGGAGCTCCCGAACGAAGCGAACCCACCCTCCCCCTCAGAAATCGTGGGGGGTAGGGGTAGGGTTCGCATGTGGCCCCCTAGGGAAGTCGGCTGCGCAACGAAAGCACGGACCTTCCAGGACGGCTAGAAAAAAACACCGGGAACTCGACGGCCAAACTCCAGTCGATAGTTGATCGGTCTATGGGTCTGGAGGGCTATATTCTAGCACTCTGGAAGGTTCGGGGTCGATTGTGCAACGGAAACAGACGGGTCCCCGCATATACTAGTTGATGTTGAAAGGACTGGGACGTTATGTTTCTCTGTTTCCAACTCTTCAGTGTTCAGCCAACCAAAGCGAAGAACATAACATAATTTATCCTGGCGGCAAGCCCAACCATATGCAGGCGTGAGTACCACAAGGCAGGTGGGACGAAAGACGGGGAAGTCCCTATGGGGCCAAGAAGCGTGTGAGGGGTGTGCCGAAAGGGAGAGGTGCCGCCGTGAGGGCGCTGGGACTGGCGCCGTTGGTGAAGTTCCCGATGGCTCATGGGGCCACGAAAGGTCGGAGGGTGTGCCGCAACGGTAATGCCATTCCAACCGTGGCATGCGTGCCTTAGCTGGAGCTCCGTGTGGGCCCATGTGGCGTGTGCGTGTTGTGCCAATATCGGTGCGGCGTCGCCTTGCAGACCCTGCCGCTAGGGTCTTAGCTGGATCTCCCTGTGGGGCCACGAAGCATGTGAGCGGTGTACAGACATGAGGCAGCGATGGGTGTGAGAGGTGTGTCGAAATGGGCGCGGTGGCGCTATGCGGACCCTGCCACTGTGGCCTTAGCTGGATCTCCGTATGGGGCCACGAAGCGTGTGAGGGATGTGCCGACATGAAGCGGCGACGCCATGCGGACCCTGGCATTTGGGCCTTCGTTGGAGCTCCTTGTGCGGCCACGGAACGTGTGAGGGGTGTGCCGAAGTGACTGGTGGCTGCGGCGACGCCATGCTGACCCTGGCCTTGGGATTTACTTGGGGCGCTCTATAGGGCACGGAACGTGCGAGGGGTGCTGGAATGAGGCGGCAACGCCATGCGGACCCTGGCATTTGGGCCTACGCTGGTGCTCCCTATGAGGCCACGAAACGAATGAGGGGTGTACCGACATGAGGCGGCGACAACCCGTGGACCCTTGCATGTGGGCCTTCGTTGGAGCTCCCTATGCCACGAAACGTGTGAGCGGTGTACCGACATGACGGGAAGACGCCATTCGAACCCTAGCATGTGGGCCTTAACTGGAGCTCCCTGTGGGGTCACGAGCCGTGTGAGGGGTGTGCCGACATGAGGCGGCGATTCCGTGCGGATCATGGCAATTGAGCTTTAGTTGGAGCTCCCGCGGGGGCCACGAAGCGAGTGAGGGATGTGCCGAAATGAGGCGGCGACGCCATGAGGAGCGTGCATGTGTGCTTCAGCTGGAGCTCCCTGTTGGAATACGAAGCGTGCGAGTGGTGCGCCCACATGAGGCAGCGACGCCATGCGGACCCTGGTATTGTGGCCTTAGCTGGAGGCCCTTCGGGGGCCACGAAATAGGGCAGGGGGCGACTTTGAGGACATGCAGAGGGCAGAGGCAGGGACGGGAGGAGGGAGGGAGGGAAGGAGGGGGGAGGATGAGGAAGGATGGGACGCGGGGCGCGGTCTCTTCGAAACGAGAATCCAACACGACAGGATGGCTGGGAGCCACACGACAGCCCCAACATACTGATCCTGGCGACGGACCCAAATGCGGGAGGAAACCCCGCAACGCAGGTGGGGCGAAATAGGGACAGCCGCCTATGGGCAGGACGCGTATGAGTGGTGTGCCGAAGTGGGTGCGGTGGCGCCAAGCGAACCCTGCCACTGGAGCCTTCGGTGAACCCCCCATGAGGCCACGAAGCGTATGAGTGATCTTCCGAAGTGGATGCGGTTGCGCCGTGCGACCCATGCCACTGGGGTCTTCGGTTGAGCTCTCTATGGGGCCACGAAGCGTGTGAGGGGTGTACCGAACGTGCTGCGGTGGCGTCACGCGAACCCTCCCGCTGGGGCCTCCGGTGGAGTTCTCAACGGGGCAGCGATGGGTGTGAGAGGTGTGTCGAAATGGGCGCGGTGGCGCTATGCGGACCCTGCCACTGGGGCTTTCGGTGGAGCTCCTTCTGGGGCCACTTAGCGTGTGGTGGGGCGTGCCATAATTGGTGCGGTGGCCCCATGCGAACCCTGCCACTGGGGCCAACGGTGGAACTCCTTCTTCGACCACGAAGCGTGTGACGGGTTGCCGAAGCGGATGCGGTGGCGCCATGCGAACCCTCCCGCTGGGCACTTCGGTTGAGTTCCCTGTGCGGGCGGGCGCGAAACGTGTGGGCGGGTGTGTCGAGATGGGCTCGGTGGCGCCATGCGGTCCCTGCCACTTGGGTTGTCGTGGGGCTCCTTATGGAGCCACGAAGCGCTGGCGCCTTGCAAACCCTCCCGCTGGGGCTTTCGGTGGAGCTCACTATGGGGACGAGAAAAGTGTCCCCGTTGGGGTGATGCTTACGATGTGGACATGCGGAAGGCAGGGGCAGGGATGAAAGGGAGTAGGGTGGGAGGAGAGGGGAGGTAGTGAGGCGAGGTGGAGCGGGGCGGCGAGGGGGAGGAGGAGGCAGAGGGGGAAGAATGTGGAGGAGGAGGAGGAGGAGGAGGAGGAGGAGGAAGGAAGAAATGCAGGGGGGGTGTTCTCTTTTTTAACACAGCGCCGTTGGGAACAAATGCAAGACTAAAACGAAACTGGACCGAAACTGGCGCGAACGAGAATCCCACAGCGGAAAATAATGTTCCCCAAGCAAACAACACATGCGCCCAACTCTTCGTAAAGTAAGTCAAGCCCCAGACCCCCTCGGGTCATGAGCAAATCATGGCGGGAGGTTTGTCGCTGATTACGGCCTCGGGGGGTCCTTACAGGGCCTCGGGGGCATCAAACAACGATTCGGGACGAAAAACTGGTCCACGGGAAGAGGCCAAGTCTCTTTATGATGACGTCGGGGGTCTGCGTCTTGTGGGAGACGACATAGTGACCGTACGCGGCGGCCGATGCAGGCCGCCAGCGCGGCACGTTGAAGTCAACCGGAAGACCATGCCGACACTTTGCGGGCGGGGCGCGACCAGCGAAAGCGGCCAAGGATGTGAGGCGGGGGGCGGATGCAAGGGCAGCCTTGGAAAATCGCTCATCCTTATTATGCGGATTGGCTGTACCCATCGGTCGGAAGAAGTGGGTAGAAACATGAAGTAGGAAGGCGTTGAAAGTAGATTGGGTCTCCGCCCGCCCCCTGAAGAGGACGGAAGAGGGGAAGGCACTCGATCCTTGAAGTAGGAAGGCACTGAAAGTGGATTGGAATCTGGGAGCCCCAAAGTACCTACTTTCAACGACCGATGGGTATGCGGATTGACTGTGCATTGAAAACCGACGGCGTCTACGCGCGGCCACGTGTGCCCGCCTCTCCGATCGGTGCCGTGCCCACCCTCGGAAAGGGAAGCCCATCGCCCACCGGCGGGGGACGGGAAGGGATGAGCGACGGTCCAAGGGTAGCCTTGGAACGTCGCTCCTCCTCACTATGCGGGTTGACCTAGGGCTCCCAACTTCGCGCTTCGCGCTTCGCGCTGCGCGAAGCGCGAATAACTTCGCGCTCTCGCGCCGCCCTCCCAAAGAGAGAATAGGAGGACGAGGAGGAGGGGGAGAAGGAACGAGGACCGCGAAGCGCGAAGCGTGAATAACTTCGCGCCCTCGGGGGAGCCCTTGTTGACTGCACCTTTGAAAACGACGGCGCCTACCTCTCCGACCCGTGCCGTGCGCCCACCCTGGGCCCCAGGAGCCGTGTACTTACAGGGCAGGTTTTTAATACATAGGATGTTTAAACTTATAGGATCTTCATACGTGAGGAAGTTATGAATAAATGTATGCATGAACTCATCGTTGTTTTTAGTTTTAAATCCCTGCATGCTTCATACATGATGCGCACGCGGAACATGCATTGAGAACGGCACTGTACCCTGGCATCCGGGCGCTGCATTCTCTTGTTCGCGCCTGGGCGCTCTCGCCCCGTCTCGGGCCACAGGGAAGCCCTCGCTGCGATCCGGCCTCTGGAGGGTGCCGCAGGAGAGATCGGGCCCGAGGCGCCGAGCCGGCAACTTCGACATTGTTGCCTTCTGTCCGCGCCGGGCGGTCCCTCCTCCTCCGCCTCCTCCTCCGCCTCCTCCTCCGCCTCCATCTCCTCCGCCTCCTCCTCCTCCTCCTCCAACCCTCCTCCTCCTCCTCCTCCTCCTCCTCCACATTGCTGCCTTCTGTCCGCACCGGGCGGTCTCGTCCCGTGTCGGGCCCATGGGGCCCCCGTGCCGATCCAGCCTGGAGGGTGCCGCAGAAAAAGCTGGGGTCTGTCTCCGGGCACGTCGGGTGTTCGAGCGGGGGATCGAGTGCGCAACTGACTTGCCCCAGGATTTGTGTGTTCGGCGGATGTGCACACGAAGGCATCACTAGAGTGTTCGCAGACCTGGGGGTATCCTGTGTACCTCTCTTGCAGCTCCGACGAGATCTCGAACTTTTGGGCTCATCGATTCTGCCGTCGATCTCCTCCTCGAGATGTCGGGGTGCACCGATCCTGGGCCCAGGAGCAGCTGGGGCCAAGGCCCCCCCCCCCTGACGTCCCGCTGCTCCCGCGACGCGGACCCTCCAGTGGGGGCGACACCCCTCCCTCTCC